TTATGGTTGGTTCTTAAGAAAACGCTAGTGGCTTAAAGCTTAGTACGAAATCGGAATGTTGTTTTTCTTGCCCATCGCTGCTATTTAGGGGGCGGGTCGCGCATTAATGAGATACTGAGAGGCTGTTTTGGATTCAGGTCATTCAACCCATCATCATACATTCTGAAGAAATACATAGACTCCTCGAGGGCATAACGAGAGAGAGAGATAGAGAGAGAGAGAGAGAGAGTGAGAGAGAAAGCCAGAGATATCGAGTGTCATAGCGCGCGAGCGAGAGAGTGAGAGAGCGCGTGAGAAAGTGAGAGAGAGTGAGAGTGATAGAGAGCGCGAGTGAGGGAAAGAGAGCGAGAGAGATATATCGAGTGTCATAGCGCGCGAGTGAGAGTGAGAGAGCGCGTAAGAGCGTGGGAGAGAGTGAGAGTGAGAGACAGCGGGAGCGAGAGAGAGAGAGAGAGCGAGAGAGAGAAAGATATAATTTTTTAAGTTTTCGTTTTGAGCTTAATCAAAAAATTCGAGCCCTGTTTTCCCCATTTTCTCTGCTAGCCTACCAATTGCAGCGGCCAAAAAAGCGCCAAACATTTTGTAAAAATAAAAAAATAACAACTGTTTGCAAGCTGGCAGGACCTGCTCAGCCATTCCGGGGCGGAAATCTGAGCCCGGCGAAGCTCAGATTGGCATGGATCACAATTTTTTTTGAGAGGTGTGGCAGGAGGAAAAGTTGCGATTCTTATTATTCCCCTCAGCCTGTGATATCTGAGAAGGAGGAGGCCTAATCGAGGCCCGCCAACCAACCGAAAAGCATCCTCAATTAGCGTCTAAAGGGACCGGCAAGGCAAGTCTATGGATTTTAGGGATCTTTCGCATTATCGGGAGGAGGGGAAACGCATTTCGAAAATTTGTTTTTTTTTGTAGAAATCAATTTCCTTTTATCGTTTTTTAATTACAACAATTGAAACCTTTAAAATTCAATAGCAACTTCGCATAGCAAATATAAAAATATCGATTTATCGCCGACAAAATGGCAATTTTCAAGCAAAAAATGTTTGAAGTTATTTTTGGTTCTCTTGATCTAAAATATCGTTAAAATCTGCGAGAAATACTATTTTTCACAAAAACTCGGTTTGTCACGAAACGCAAAAGAATATGACAACAGTTACTTTAAAAACCCAAACATCTATCGAGATACGAAAAACACCGTTTTCAAATTTCTTCCAATTAAGATTTTTCCACATTAAATACAGTTAAATTTTACTAAAACACTATCAAAATACTTACTATTACGGTACTAGGCATTTCTGGGCCTACAGAAAAAATTAGCCCTCCCCCCGATAATGCAAAAGAACCGCGAAAGAGGATAGCTTTTGATTTTTTACCGTAGAAAACTGTCTACAGTACTTTACAGCCCCAAAAGTTGATCAAACCAGAACAAAATTGGCGCTTGAAACAAAAGAGATACTTTTAGGGGGGAAGGCAGGCCAACGAAGCGATCCGGATGGACGAAGAGGAAAAAGAGGAAAAGAAGAAGAACCCAACTCTTCTTACCGCTTGTTTATAGATCGCTCCTTTTTATCTCTCTCTCTCTATTTCTCTCTCTCTCTCTCTCTCTCTCTCTCTCTCTCTCTAACACTCGCTCTCTCTCTGTATCTGTCTCTCTCTCTCCCTCTCTCCCTCTCCCTTCGCCTCAATTTGGTTTCCGTGGCTTTGGGCGAGTGAGCCGCTCGGGAAATTCAGTTGCCCGTCAGGAGGAGCCAAGCGGAATATTGGGCCTCCGGGTGAGGGTGGCTCCCGGAATAACCCTCTCTCCACAAGGCTCTCTGCCAACTTGCCCGTGTCAGGCTAGCAGAGATCATTGTGGAAAGTGGCCAAGACAACTGTTCCAAAAAATGTTTTAACATATAAAAATCTCCTGAAGGGTCCACGCCATAGTGTGCAAATTGTACTATGGCACAATTGCAGCCTGGTGGTAGTTCTAGTAGTTTAAGTTGAAGGAATTTGTGGTTCAAAGTAGCCGGGTCGAAATAGCCCCAAAAATTATGGAATAGAAATGGCGATGATCCTGGGCTGGTCCTGGACCTGATTTTGGTTCTTCTGCCTACATCTACCTATTAATAACAAAAGCTCATCATCTAATGTTTTAGTAAATTTTGATTGGCAGTCTTGCAAAAAGCTTTTAAAAATATCGAGGCGTTGAAAATTTTGTTTTTTTGGTCGTTTTTCGCGCACGTTGACGAAAATGTCCAAATTTTTCGATGATTTTTACAATTTTTATGAGCTTTTTACACATGAGAATTTTGGGAAACCAAATTTTGATCTAGGCAATTTCTGGGACATTTTATCTTCCATAAAAACCTCGGTCTCGCCAAAGAAACAGGCTCGTTAATTCGCGAGCTTCGTGTGCTGAAAATAGATAGACTTAATTTTCACTAACTGACCTCCAAAAAGCTAGCATTTTTTATTAGCTTGAAAATTTTGTTCTTTCGCATTGTCGGGGGGTGGTCCACTTTTTCTAAAGATTTAATTTTTCTACAATAAACAGAGGAAGTATACCTAACCTATTTTTTTAGTCCAAATTGAACGATTTTTTTACCACGATTTAACAATCTTGCTGCATTTTTTTATTAACATATTTTTTATATTTATTTTTATTTTATTAAAACCGTACTAATAATTACGATTACGTTCCTAGGCATTTTTGGCAGCTCGAAAATTATGGTCCAAGCCGCTGAAAAAATTAGTTTTTAAAGATTTTGGAAACATGATTTAGAAAAATCGTTGTCAGGAATTGCCGTGCATTTCAAGCACGCGTCATCAGCAGAAAATGCAGAAAATCGAGGAAAAACAGGGGAGGCAAAGCAATTGAGAGAATTTGAGAATTTCGTGCCGGGACCCCATCTCACTCATCCCCCCCCGAAAGGCCTATTGTTTTGCCTAGACCCTTTTTCGCATGCTCATCGCCGATGCGACGCGACAATTCAATGGCTAAATATCAAGGATTTCGACGCCAATAAATACAAATGTTTGAGAAAAAATATTTCGAGAAGGTAGGGAGTTTCCTGAACTGAATTTAACTACTGACTTAAATTTTAACTCTTTAACTCGTTTAAATTGCAATAAAGCTAAAAAATAAAAATGCACTGAAGAAAGGGTATCACAAAAATGTAAATCCTAAGATTTCAAAAATTGAAGAGCTTACAAATTCCATTTAAAATGATCTCTTATTTAAAAAACGAATCTTCTTTTAATAGGCCTTTTTAAAATAAAAAGTTTCGATATTGGCCGAGGTTTTCCGAGATGTAGATTTTTAATAATAATTTTTTTTAGCCTGTTGATAATATATAACGTATTTTTCTAGTGTTTTTAGTGATTTTTATTGCTAGAAAATTAAAAAAATATTTTTAAAATCCGCAAAATTCGAACATCTTGACTTAGGCTTGGTCATTTTCGGTGGCCGATCAGCTGTTCGAAAATCATCTGTTCGAAAACCATCTGTTCGAAAATCATCCGTTCGAAAATCATCTGTTCGAAAATCACCTGTTCGAAAATCATCTGTTCGAAAAATCACCTATTCGAAAAAGGTCCCAAATGGGGAAAAATTCTATGGGAAGCTATTGCTACTAAAATGCTGTGTTTTGCATGTTTCGTGGGGAAATTCGAGGAAAATCTGAAATTGCGCGGCTATATCGAATCCTCCGCCAAGCCAAATATGCGCCCGAGGGTGACCATCGACGAGCAGCAGCAGCTCTGCGAGAACTACAGCAAAGAATATATGGCCGAGTTCCTCGACAACATCGCCAAAATTTTAACCTGAATCTTCATGAATATGTCTTTTTGTTTTTTTGTTGTTTTTTTTTCATGAAAAGTCTTTTCAAAAAAAACTTTGAATTTTGGAAAAGTTGTTGCTTCGAAAACGGTGTTTTTTTTCGAACAGATGATTTTCGAACAGATGATTTTCGAACAGATGACTTTTCGAACAGATGTCTTTTCGAACAGATGATTTTCGAACAGATGACTTTTCGAACGGATGATTTTCGAACAGGTGATAGGGAATCGTCATTTTCCTTACCTTTTTGCGCAACAAGTCAAAATTTAAAAAGATATATAATTTTCTCTGAGCTTTTTATATCTAAAAACTGTGTCAAATGCGATAAAAATTACTTATATTTCATTATGGGGCTGCACGAGTTGACTGGGAAAATCCGCCCCCCCCGTTAAGCGAGAAGGACCGCTTTCTATTTTTGATTACTAAGTTTATGTTTAAAGGTACACCGAAACTTGATTCCTGGCAGATAGCTAGATGCGACTGCAACGCCACCGGGTCACATGGTAGTTTTCCCCTTTTCGGACGTGAAAACCCTTGAATTTCAAAATTCTGAGGCTATTTCTGTAATCAAGAATTCCATTTTTTCATCAAACATCGCTTGGCTGGCCGACGGCAAGACGTTCGAAAAAATAACGGAGAATTCAATTTTTTTGTTCACCATTCGTTTTTCGAACGTCTTGCCGTCGGCCAGCCCAGCGTTGCTGGCTCAAAAAAATAATGGATTTCTCCATTCTTTTTTTGTACGTCTAGCCGTCGGCCAGCCAAGCGCTGCTGGCTCAAAAAAATAATGGAATTCTGAATTCTGATTCGAAAAGGCAGAGGTTAGTTCGAATGAGCCGGGAATTTTTCGGCAGCCTTTGTCATGTCTTTTTGACCCAAAAATAGCAACATTTTCGATGCAATTTATTAGCGTTTTTTTTCGCGCTGCATAAGAGATTCAGCTTCCAGAAAGCCTTAGGTTTTCGCCGGGCGTCGGCAGGCACGGAAATGCTAAAACGGGCTCAAGAAAGCCCGATGAAGCCGGCCGCTCCCTCACTCTAATTCCGATCGATTTGCAGTTTTACATTTGCATCGCAAAAAATGGATGGATTAGAATAGCAGGTACCAACCAAAACATTTGCCCCGTCACAGTGACGGTGCGGTTTCTACGGCTCGTGCTCTGATGATTTTCCCTAATGGAATGCAGAAGTGGTTCCGTTGGCCTGTCAGCATGTTCATCTTCGTCATCGTGGGCCTCTTCATCGTCCCCAACGTGTCAGTTTCTTTGCTAAGTTCTTGGGACACTGTTCTATTATGCGGGGGCGGACTGTGGGGGGGAATGACTAGGCATTCCCACAACTTTTTTATTTTCTCTTATTTTGGGCTGTTATTAAACCCTGAGCAGATTTTAACCTTTCCGACGATCTATCGAACGATTAGAGAGTTAACGAACCCGCCCCCCTCCGCCCCCGGCTCCTGGCCGTCTTCCATCTGATCGAGACCAAATTTTTACCAGCGATGCGGACCCATAAAAACGATGTGTAGCCAGATTTTGCAAGCAAATATTGTAAAAAACAAAAAAGTTATCGCTAAGAAACTGCTTGTTGGGCTGGTGCTCTTTTTTGGCGATAATCCCGCAGTAGGCTTGTCGGTTTTGAGTAATTTTCTGAAAAATGGTCATTTTGGGGTCGCTTCCTGGCAGTTTTGAGAATAAAAAGTGAAAAGACTCAATTTTGACGTAATTTTCGTCAACAAAAAAATTCCTCCGGGGAAAAAGTGCTCTCTTGATGCTTAGGCTTAGGAATGTGAAATATACCAAACTGCTTTCCAGAGCAAGACGAACATTTTAGTACACTTTACACACCTGTAGATGAACAGGGAGCCGTGATACAAAAATTGGGTGCCGGCTGGGGGGGGTAAACTGCCCTCTAACCGGGGGCTTTTGGGACCACTGTATGGTGCTCCTCATTCCATTTCTTTTTCTAGTTCGCCCGTCACCCACTTGGCGTTCACCTCCGCCTCGGACAACGTCGAACATCCGGCCAACGCTCGCCCTCATCTTCCCTCATCGGCCCAAAGGGTACTATAGCGTAACAATGGTTCTGGACTGTTAGCGGGGGGGGAGGCACTTTCTGTTTTTCCACCTATTTAGAATGGATTAAATACTTTTATAGTGTTTTTAGTAGTTTTTGATTGCTAGAAAGTTGCAAAAAAAGTTCATATTTTGGAAATGTCGAAAATTTTTGAGCTTTTGGTTTACTTTTCATTTGCCCAAAGTCTTTTTATTGTTTTTTATATCGGTTTAAGATTTAAAAATTATGCAAAATGCTATATGAATGGTTTATAATTTATTTTAGTAGAGGGTCACAGGGAAAAATTTGTTCCCTCGCTAAAAGTCTCCCCCCCGCTAAGAGTCCAGAACCGAAGCAGTTGGGTCCACTGAACGACTTCGACTTCGTTGAAACCCTTTTCATTTAGTGCAAGACTGGTCGTCATTTTCTCTGCTACGCCTATGAACACCTCGAAGAAGAGACACCTGAGTGGCTGCTATCGGAGTGCTCGACTTGTATCGCACCGACATGCCAAAATCACATCCGCGTTGCCGGGAGGCCACGTATCCGCATCAGGGGCCAATGCAAGCCACATTTCTGTGTAAGCATGATTGTCGCTACCTCGAATAATTAGTCTTGCCTTCGTAAAAAAAATCGATGATTTAAGAGACAAAAGGCCCTTTGCCTTCGTTGTTTCGGTTCTGGGCTGTTAGCGGGGGGGGATTTTTAGCGGGGTGGCGGCGCAAATTTTACCCTATGATCCGCTACGGCCCTATAATCAATTATAAACAATTTTTATAGCATTTAACATAGGTTTGAAATAGAAAAACAATATAAAAAATAATAAAAATGTTGAAAAATTTGGGGTTTTTGGTCAAAAATGTAGGAAAGATGACCAAAAAGGGGAAAATTTTTGAATTCGCAAATTTTAAAAAAGTTCTTTTTTTTGGCAGTTTCTAGCAACCAAAAACTACTAAAATGATTGATATATCATCAATAGGTAATATAACACTACTTTCTTGTTTTTTTTTTTTGAAAATGCCTGTTTATAGTCTTCGACTGATGAACACCCCGATCGCCGTGCCCCAGACTGCCTCCTGCCAGTGATGATCAACAACGGGAAAGGTATCACTCGTCACTTAATGGTCTCGAAGCATTTGTAGATAAAGTACTTTTCCCCATCAACCTGTGCACCCGCGAAATGCTGGCTTCCGGAAGCTGCGAGGGAAAAAGAATGTAGGGTCGTTCATGACTATTCTTCATCAAATAAGCCATCTAGTGCCACACAACTTTATTCGCCCGACATGCTGTTGTCCAACGAATATTTTGCGCAGTGTCACGCGGGCTTCACATTCCCTAAGTGAGTTGGTTCTGGTTCTGGATTTCGCAAATCAGCATTTCGAAAATCGGTTCCTGAGTATTCCCGGGGGGAGGGGGGGAAGAATTCGCCGGGGGGGGAAACGTTTTTCTGTTTTTTTTCGGGAACTTTTTGTTCTGTTGGCCCTGGTGGGCATAGTAATCAAATATAAAGTGTTTTTACATTGTTTTTAGCAAAATTTAAGCCTATTTTAATAGGAAAAACTTTTTTAAAAGTTAGAAAAACGCTTGAAAAAGTCAAAAATTTTGTCATTTTTCCGTCGAAAAAATTGATTTTTCGACCTAAAATTAAATTTTTTAATTAAATGCTGTAAAGTTTGTATGCTTAGAAATAGCTATAAACAATTTAGAAACGCTTCCACTATTTATATAAAAAATATAGGCTTGACCCGAAAAAGTGGGTTTTTTTTGTTCTCCATCTATACCTGTTGACCATCAATAATGTATTTTTATAATGTTCTTAGTAGTTTTTGATCGCTGGATAGTTATAAAAACTACTTTTTGAAATTTTGGAAATCCGAAAAAATTTTCACCTTTTTTGGCATTTGACAAACATTTGTATTATTTTGTATATTGTCGTAATATCTAAAAATTATGTAAAATGCTATAAAAATGGTTTATTTTTTGTCATATGGCCGTAGAGAATCAGTGGTGATAATTTGGGTTCCGTTCCCCCCCGTTAACAGTCCAGAACCGTTTCCCTCACCCCGAATCTGCCCCCCCTAAACCGGAAGAACAGCAAACGGTCTACTATTAACAGAACCGGAGCTTTTAGCGAGCTCCGAGACATCCTTGATCGCCGCCCGGCTGCTGCTGCTCCGACAACATGCGTCCCGAGCCTCCAGATAGCCGCCGGATATGCTCTCGGCGACCGATCGCCTTTCAGCACCTACCCGTACGATGTGCATGACTATTACAATGTCACCGTAAGTACTACGAAGGAGTCATTTCGGTTCATGCGGGGTGCCCCTAAAAAATCACCCCCCCCCCTAGCCGGCCTCAGACTTAGCCGATTTTTACGAGTGAGGTATCAATCAAAAGCTCTCGAAAAGGCGAGTTCGGCATGTTTCTCTGCTTCTCAAATTTTCGAAATTTTTCCAACCTTTACTAATATTATTATGTAACGGACGGGTTTTCTGGAGTTATTCTGCCCAGGGGGGGGTTCACAAGCTTTCCAGACAGTCCAACGACCGCTTTTTGAGAGCAATTTGGGAAAACACAGCTGGGAGGACGCTTGAACCTGTTAAATTGAGTTTTTGGCAACAAAGCGCTCGTTTTTGCATGAAAAATGCTGAAAATCGAGCAAAAATTCCTGGATTTCGGAAATTGGAGTGAAGTGCTGGACTCGCCTTTTCGAGAGTTTTCGGTAGATACCTAAATCGTCAATGACAGCCGCCGTCTGGGAGCGGGGGGTATTTTTTGGACACACATGGGCATACATACATAATATGGCTTCTGCAGTATTGCGCCAAGGGAGGCCGCCCTGATGGTGATACTTGTGAGCCGCTGCCGATCTGCGATCCAGATGGCCAAACACCGTATGCAGCTTCTTTAGCCGGTGGAGCAAAAATCTTCTTTTAAGTCCGGCGGTACTGAAGGCCTACAAGTCTGCAACGGAATGCGATCAGCCATGCAGATACAAATACGGTGCAAGCTACGAGGATTGTGTGATCTTGGATATCACGGCTCCGGGCCAAGCCTTGCCCTACTTCACAGCACGCCGGGCTCTGGTGATTATTTTTACAGGGTGTCCCAAAAAAAGCACCCCTCCGGCATTTCGCCGTATTACAACCGATTGGTCCCAAATTTGGAACAGAGGCGTAACAAACCATAAATAACCACAATCCTGAGTTATAGCCAGATCGCTACAGTAGTTTTCGAGTTATGGTCAAAATACTAGTTTTTACGCGTTTCCTAACAAGTTTTTTTCGGCTATCTTTTTGGACTTTGCATCGATCTGCATCGACTTCCGGCTGCGAATCCCCAATTTCGCTTAAAATCGGGGGCGACTTGGGTTACAAAAATTGTTGAAATCAACGGTTATTTGGTCAATTTTCTATTAGGAAAAAGGTTCTAGGGGTAAAGAAGGCTTGGCGCTTTATTTTCACTTAATATTCGAGGGGTCGATTCCGAATAATATAGAGGGATAAAGTTTATTTTTGTTGTATCCCGAAAACTACCCTAGCTGGCGGGCTATAATTCAGGATTGTGGTTATTTAGGGTCTGATACACCTCTCTTCCAACTTTGGGACTGATCGGATGCAAAACGGCAAAATTCCGGAGGGGTGCTTTTTTTGGGACGCCCTGAATGTTTTGGGGTTCTGGGCTGTTAGCGGGGGGGCGGATTTTTAGCGGGGTGGCGGCGCAAATTTTACCCTATGATCCGCGACGGCCCTATAATAAAATATTAACAATTTTTATAGCACTTTACATATTTTTAAGTAGAAAAAACAGTCGTACTTGATATAATTTTGGCGTGTCTGTTTATGTGTGGTGTGTGTTTTGACGCCCGATTTGAGGGCCTGCCCATGTATAAAACGCTCTAATTTCGGATCTTCAAAGGCGAACATTTTCGGATCTTCAAAATTTTAAAAAGTTTGTTGTAAGTTTCTAGCAACCAAAAACTACTAAAGACACTCTAAAAATACATAATTGATATTCGACCGATGGAAAAATGGAAAGTGGTTTGCACCCTGTTACCCCTCCCTCCCCCCCCAACAGCCCAGAACCTGTATTGGATGGTTGCCGGGCTCTTCGTCGAATCAACAAACTAAAATGTTGATTTCATTTCAGTCCGGCCCGTACGCAACCTTCTTCGACAAGAATGACAACCTCCTGATAGGCGCCATCCAGCCGAACGACGCTCATCCGCCGATTCCGAATGAGGTACGCGTCATGGCAAAAATCTACGTCCAAAAAAGGGTTAAAAACTCAATTGAATTTCGGCATATATCGGCTACGCGGGGGGGGGACTGTTTGGGCCGACCTAACTATTTTTTTCATTTCTTTTCCCTACAAACGCAATTCTCGGTATAGTTTTTGACGCTCTATCGAACGGCACTAAAGAAATTTTGCTAAAATTGTTTTGCCGTAATGCTTTTCATATGACAACCCGACAAGCGGGCGAAGTGCGCGATTTGAACGCGGAATTTGGTTGAATTCGTGTACGGACGTGGGGCGTACGGAGATTAGAAATTTATATCCTACCTTATATATTTTTGGCGCGAATTTTGGTGTGTGTGTCTGGATGTCACATTCGAGGCCCGATTTGAGGGCCTTCCCGTATCCAAAAAGCCTCAATTCTGCGTCACCTGGGGTAATCGACCCGTCTGTTTCCGATGATGTTTTCAGAATTTCAATAAAATACAAGTTTACGAGAATAAAGCCGGATTTATTCCTTTTTGGCGGTCCACGAGGGCTAATTTGCATAATGTGAAAAATACAAATTTCCGCATTCTTGCCAGTTGCACTCGCGTGTTTGGTCGGGAGAGGGGAGGGTCCAAAGAACCCTGGCTATCGCAAATTTCTCATGCAAGGGCCGCAATCCAGCGCCCAAGGCCCGCGAAGCGGGTTTTGGGCGCTGGTATGGTAGATAAAATTGGCGCTAAAACAAACACTCTTTGTATATTTGTCGGTTCTCTATCGAAGGGCGTTGCAAAAATCCCGAGGAAATAGTGAAAATATCGAAAAATGGCATTCCTGCTCTGTTCCCCCGGCCGCGTGAAATTGTGGCCTCAGCGTAACCCACCTATACCTTGAATTTCAACTGGCGCTATTTTCAGCCGGCCGCTGAAGGTGTCGATAGCACCGCCGCTTCAATTCAATATCCCAGATGCATCAGCACCCATGGTTTGACGGTAGATTTACCCGACGGTAATGCATAGCTGATGTCCTTAGGGCGATGACTTGCGACGGGTTGAAGCCGACAAGTTTCTGGACTGCAGCAAGAACATCTTTGTCCGGGCCCGAAACGGCGACACAGATGGAATAATCATCCACCCGCCGCCGTGTGCAGGAGTCACAGACACGGTAAGGCGTCTTCCGGCTCTTTCGCCTTATCGGGGGGACCAACCTTTGTCTCGCATTCTAATTTTTTAGATATATACGAGGGTTGAAAAGCCGCTTCGCGACTTTTCAATCCTGGCCCCGTGCTGGACGAATGAAAGCTTACACTTTGCATAATTCCACCCAACTCTCGTTGAAAAAGTGAAAAATACGCTCTCTACTCCTTGAAATAAGCTACCGCCACTTCCGGTGTATGCTAATTGATTCCTAACAAAGAGGGTCTCGGATTTTTCAACAAAAACTAAAATGTAATGTCGGAAATAGGCGATTTTGGTCAATCCGATATGTGTGCAGTCATCTCCAGACCATTACGCTCCTAATGACGTATCAAAAAACGTCCCTAACTACTCTCCTTCTTGAGATACTGCTGGAACACATGCTGACGGAAGTTGCATGCAAAGTGGCACACACACACACACACAAACACTATAGGGGGGGCGGCGGTAACCATTTTCTATTCTTCCACCTATAGCAACCTGTTGATGACATCTAAAAGATTTGTATAGTGTTTTTAGTAGTTGTGGCTTGTTAGGAGGTTATGAAAAATATTTTTTAATTGTGAAAATTCGAAAATTTGTATTTTTTTTGGTCATTTTGGTTACCTATGTGATCATGAAGTCACAAATTGTTTTTTATATTGTTATTATCTCTAAAAACTATGTAAACTGCTAGAAAATGGTTTATATTTAGTTTGGGGCCGTAGAGGGTCATAGGGAAAAATTCGTGCCCCCCCCCCCGCTAACGGTCCAGAACCCAAAATGTTACTAAAAACGGGCAAAATTTTTACCTGTTCAAAGCTTGTTAATCGTTTTCCTAGTTTACTAAAAAATCACGCTGAAACCATTTTCTATTAGGTTACCAGACGTTTCCAGACTTATTTATACAAAAAGTTCGGTACCCCCCGCCCCGCCGATTTTTGATGCATTTTTTTTAACGACCCGTTGGATCGAATGCCGTAACAACAATTCCTTCCTAGCGAATATGTACGAACCGCCACGGAACGGCCTCTACGCCGCTGACGCTGATTCACGGGATGTTGAACGACACCTCGTCGAGTGACGGGCCCTTTTCCAGCTGGGCTGGTGAGCCACACGCTACTTCATTCTATTACCTTAATCTAGCTATCGGTACTGCCGCCTTCCTGCTCCTCGGTGTGCTCGGCGTGGTTCTACTTGTGCGCCTGTTGACACGGTAAGGCGGCGGGGCCACATACAGGGTGTCCCAAAAAAAATCGACCCCCCTCTAGCGGGCCGCAGTCATGTCCGATTTTGACGATTTAGATATCTATCGAAAGCACTCGAAAAGGCGAGAAAACAAGCACTTTTCGTTTTTCAATATGGGAATTTTAATTCATTAAATTTAGGGCCAAAATCGATGAAAACTGCAGATTTTATGCAAAATCGGCATGTTAATTGCTTGCTAAAGCAAACAGGACGATGCTGGTTTTACGCTTTTTACAGAAATCATTGAATATCGAGCGCAGGCTAAAATTTTTTGGAAAACCAAAGGCGCTTGTTTTCTCACCGTTTGAAGGGCTTTCGAGCTTGGTGTGAAAATCATTCCGATCCGAGCTTTCTGCGGTCCGCTAGAGGGGGGTCGATTTTTTTTGGGACACCCTGTATATGGACAGGGGTGTTCCAAATTTTGGCTAGACTCTGGTTCCCCCCCCCCAGCCCCAACTTTTCAGCCATGCATACCATGTATGCGTGGAGGTTCTTTAGGATTTCCGGGGGGAGAGGGGAACCAAATTTTTTCGGCCCAAGCCTAAATTTTTTATAAATAGCGCATGCGTTTCTAAATGGTTTTTAACTATTCCTGAGCATAAAAACTACCCACATTTTAATTAAAAAATTTAATTTTAGGTCCAAAAATCCTATAGAACCTTTAGGATTAGCGGGGGGGGGGGGAAAGACCCAAAATGACTAAATTTTCGACTTTTTCAAACATTTTTCTAACTTTTTTGAAAGGTTTTTCTACTTTAAATATGGTTAAAATTTACTAAAAACAATGTGAAAACACCTTATATTTGATTACTAGGTCAACCGGGAAAACCAGGAAAAAATTTGGTTCCCCCCCCCCCCCTCGGAAATCCTAAAGAACCTGCGTGCGTGGAGTTTGAGAACCGTCACTTTGACCAGGAAAAAAATAATTAAAGAAAAATTAAATAAATGACAAAAACTAGCTTTGCGCGTCTTGTTCCCATAAGGAAATTCCGTTTAAATTCTGTTTTTGCTGTAACTATTTTATATCACAATATCTTGAGCTGCCATAAAAACTCTTAGTATATTTTTTTGATGCTCTATAGAACGGCGTCAAAAAAATCCCAAAAAACAACGAAAATATCGAAAACTTTGGGACCTTCGAGCTGGGGGGGGCGGTAAAATAAACCGTTGCCGGAACTTGCAATTTCAGTGGCAAGAAGAAATCGAAGGGTGCCAAGCGCCACCACGGCATCCGCCGCTGGGCTCTTCTCCGCCGTCGAGGGGGCAACAGCCCCAAAAAGGTGAAAAAATTGGCAACTAAGAGGACGAGATATTGGGCACGTTTTTGGCGCAAAAAATTCCCGTCAGTGATTTTCTGCAAGCATGCGTCATGCCGGTACGCATTTCACACTTAAAGGGATTATGACAGGATTCTCAATTTCAGGCTTGCCTCTCGGTTTCTTTCACATGCTCGACGGCGCCCTGCAAGTCTCCTCCCCATCCCGACGGCCAGCCCCCCGTGGAGTGCCACGTTTTGGTTCGTTTTCGGAGCAATTAACATTTTACTAGGGTTGAAAAGCCGCTTCGCGACGCGACGCTTCGCGACTTTTCAACCCTGGCCCCGGCTGTACCCATGATATTCTTCACTTTGCATAATTCCAGCGATTTTCTATGGCAAAAAATGAGAAACGCCCGCTCTCTACCCCATTATACAGGCTACCGCAACTTCCGGCGTATGCTAATTATCCCCTAACAAAGGGGTTTCTCGATTTTGCAACAAAAAGCTTAATTTTAACGTCGAAAACAGCGAATTTTTGAAAATTTTATGAGTGTGCACTCATCTCAAGGCCATTACGCACCTAATGACGTATAAAACATACCCCTAAATACCCCCTTATTGAAATACTGCTGGAAGACGCTGACGTAAGTTGCACACATACACACACACTTAGGAACTTTTTTTTATATAGTAGGATAGGGATCGTGACAAACTTCTCGGGGTTCTGAACTGTTAGTGGGGGGTGGGAGTTTTTAGCGGGAGGGGGAACCACTTTCTGTTCTTCCGCCTATTCTTCCTCCTGTTAATAATCGATAAAGTATTTTTATAGCGCTTGTGGTAGTTTTTGATCCCTAGAAACTTATCAACAAAATATTTTTTAATTTTATAATTTGCGAAATTTGGGCCTGTTTTGGTAGTTTTTCATGCATTTTTGTACAAAAAGCAAAAAATGTTTCTGGTTTTGTATATTGTTTTTATAACTAAAAACCAAGTCAAATGCCGCAAAAATTGTTTATATTTTATTATAGGTCCGTAGAGGATCACAGGGATTGGTCCCCCCCCCGCTAATAGTCCAGAACCATTCTGAGTTTCACAGGCCGCCGCAAACAGCACGTCGGTTTCCTGTATCACTGCGCAGGTATCGCCATCGGACGGCGCCGTTCCCCGGGACGATCGTGGAGAAGAGGTTCGTTTATCTAGCAATTCCGACCTTGAGGGAATCATTGCAGACTCCGGCTCGACCATCTTCCTCGTTGTGTTGCACAACTGCACCGGTGTGGTCCACGGAAGTACGCAGCAGTTTTTCCTTTCCAAAACAATTCTCGTTGTAAAGGAAGGTCCTGGACTGTTAGCGGGGGGGGGGGATGGCTTTAGCGGGGGTAAACCAGTTTTGGCTTTTCCACCTGTTGATGCTTGCCTGTTAATGATATATTATGTATTTTCCTAGTGTTTTGAGTAGTTTTGCTCTAGAAAGTTGTAAAAATATTTAAAAATTATTTGAAACTTCGGAAATTTGGCCCCTTTTTTGGTCGTTTTCATGCATTTTTCACAAAAAAAAATCAATAAAAACCAGAAACCAAAAATTCGAACATTTTTTATGTGTTTTTATATCGAAGAACTATATAAGATGCTATAAAAATGGTATTGGGGTTAGGTGTCGGATAAAAAACAAAAGGCTGTTCCTGCCTTCTTTGCGATGTTTTGCCCGATTGTACAATCAGCTTCAGGGCAGACCACTGCAAACAAATTTGTTTTGCAAAGCAATTCACATTTTAAAGGGATAAATGATTATTTCTCAGTTTCAGACCACGTCACCGGGCCCGGCTTTAAACGGATCGACCAACGACGCCAAGGCCTGCTCGCCTCGTCGCTCCACCGCCACTCCAACTACTGCAAAGGTTGGTTTACAAAGCAACTCACATTTTAACAGGATCCATGATTATTCCTCATTTTCAGGCCACATCACGGTCTGGTACTTCAAACGGATCGACCAAAGACGCCAATGCCTGCTCGCCTCGTCGCTCCACCGCCACTCCAACTACTGCAAAGGTTGGTTTACAAAGCAACTCACATTTTAACAGGATCCATGATTATTCCTCATTTTCAGGCCACATCACGGTCTGGTACTTCAAACGGATCGACCAAAGACGCCAATGCCTGCTCGCCTCGTCGCTCCACCGCCACTCCAACTACTGCAAAGGTTGGTTTACAAAGCAACTCACATTTTAACAGGATCCATGATTATTCCTCATTTTCAGGCCACATCACGGTCTGGTACTTCAAACGGATCGACCAAAGACGCCAATGCCTGCTCGCCTCGTCGCTCCACCGCCACTCCAACTACTGCAAAGGTTGGTTTACAAAGCAACTCACATTTTAACAGGATCCATGATTATTCCTCATTTTCAGGCCACATCACGGTCTGGTACTTCAAACGGGTCGGGACGAAAATCAAAGGGCACGAAGACGCGCAAGGTGCACAAGTACGAGTATATCCCAGTGGGTATTTCTTGACCTCTCCGGCACAATTCAGAGGGGCGGCGGTGGAGGTTTGGGCAGGGGGCAAGAAACAAAAAGTTTTTGCCGCTATTTTCTTCATTTTTTAGGGGTTTTTTTTGCAACGCCATTCGATAGTGCATCCCAAACCATGCTACGATCCCTTTAAAATGTAAATTCACGACATTTGCGACTGCCCAAATCTTGGCCACGCCCCCGCCTATCTGTATCGATCGCCGGTTATATATAAGGACCAGAGTTTTAGTGCTATTTTTGTTATGAGCCGAAGAAAGACACGAAGGGCGGAATGGCTTTATGCGGAGCCTGCAGCACGCGAGTATCGTAAGTGATTGTAGTCTCTTTTCATACACTTGTTCAGGGCCTGGGTACGTTGCCCTGATGCCATATGCGTGGACCAATCAGGGTGTTTTCTGCTCCCACGATTGCGGAGTGATGAGTAGGTGCCTTCATAGAAACCGAACTTTTTTGTTTGAGTCTAGAAATGCCTAGTAAGGGAATAGATAGTGTTTTAATAGTGTTTTTGGCTACGGTTTACTTTACCCCCCCCTAGCCGGAAGTTTTTGGCTATAACTTTTTTTGCCTTCCCCGTCTTACCATAATACTTCGATCACTTTGCATAAATTGCTGTGCAGAAAAATGAAAACACACACACACACACACACACACACACACACACACACACACACACACACACACACACACACACACACACACACACACACACACACACACACACACACACACACACACACACACACACACACACACACACACACACACACACACACACACACACACACACACACACACACACACACACACACACACACACACACACACACACACACACACACACACACACACACACACACACACACACACACACACACACACACACACACACACACACACACACACACACACACACACACACACACACACACACACACACACACACACACACACACACACACACACACACACACACACACACACACACACACACACACACACACACACACACACACACACACACACACACACACACACACACACACACACACACACACACACACACACACACACACACACACACACACACACACACACACACACACACACACACACACACACACACACACACACACACACACACACACACACACACACACACACACTATCGAATGGCGTTGCGAAAATACCGACAACTTTGAGACCCTTCGGCTGTGGGGGACGGAAAGTAAACTCTTACCGTGTTTTTAGTAATGTATGCCTATACAGGGTGTCCCACAAAAAAGCACCCCTCCCATATTACATCCGATCTGTCCGAAAATTGGACCAGAGGTGTATCAGACCCTAAAGAACCACAATCCTGACTTGGAGCCTCCCTACTATGGTAGTTTTCGAGATACAACAAAAATATACTTTGTTATCCGTTTTTCATAAGGTTTTCGTCGGAATCGACCATTCGAATATTAAGTGAAAATGATGCGGCAAGCGTTCTCTACCCTAGAAATTTTTCTTAATAAAAATTAATCGAATAATCGTTGATTTCAACAATTTTTGTAAAGTCCAAAAAGATAGCCGAAAAAAACTGTTAAGAAACGCGTAAAAACTAGTATTTTGACCATAACTCGAAAGCTACTGCAGCAATCGGGCTATAACTCAGGATTGTGGTTATTTAGGCTTGTTACGCCTCTGTTCCAAATTTGGGACCGATCGGATGTAATACGGCGAGTTGCGTTATTTATACCCAAAAAAAACGATAAAAGTAGGGTTAAAAATACGCGAATTTCACAAATCGGAGAGAAAATATCACCTCAACTCGTCGTGAGCTGCCGATAGATACCTAAAACGGAAAAAAACGGACATCAGGGCGGACCGCTAGAGGGGGGCCTTTTTTGGGAGGTATTGCTGATATTTGGGTGGTAATTCCACCTAATTAAAAATACAGAGTGTCCCAAAAAAACGCCTCGGCATTTGGCCACCTTATATCCGATCAGAAACGATTTTTTACCAGCGATAGGGACCTATAAAAACTATGGCAGATTTGGCACTCGAAATTTTTAGCAAAAACGACGAAGGGACTTTTTCCACCCGGGTAAATATTTTGATCTACGAAAATTACGTCAAAATTGAGTCTTTTTTGACTTTTTATTATCAAAACTGCCAGGAAGCGACCCCAAAATGACCATTTTTCCGAAATTACTCAAAATCGACAAGCCTACTGCGGGATTATCGCCAAAAAAGAGCACCAGCGCTTCCCAACAAGCAGTTTCTTAGCGATAACTTTTTTTGTTGTTTACAATATTTGCTTGGAAAATCTGGCTACACATAGTTTTTATGGGTCCGCATCGCTGGTAAAAATTTGGTCTCGATCAGATGGAAGACGGCCAAATGCCGAGGATTTTTTTTGGGATACGGCCCTTGAAAGAGTCCTTTGATTTTAGGGTTTTTGCGGAGTCTCCCAACTTCCACCGAACCCTGGTGATTATCGGTGGGTGTGTTTTCTGCTGACCGCAACTGGTTCTTTTGCAGCCAGTAGATGCCAGATGTGTTGGATATCGTTAGCCAGCCCGGCCCAGATGAAAAAGCTGATGGAGTACAAGGCCGAATACGAGCTGCGAAAGGCCCAAAAGGAAGCGAAGAAGGTGCCGGGCAATGTTGAAGACAAGAAGAAGAAGCGCCGTTGAGTCTTGTGTTGTGCGCTCGTTTATCCAGATATTTTTGTTGCATCGCATGTATTCCCGAACGGCGTTTCTGGAAATTCAGAACTAGGTTTTTGAATCGAAACTATGATACTTGACGCTATTTCCGAGCCTTTTGAGAACTCATCTCGATTTTTCCGAGAAGAAATCAACACATGTATTTTGTGGAGCCTCGAAATTCAAAATGGTATTGCAAGTTTTGCCTAAGCAGGGACGTCGTTCGTGAAATCCCCGTATCCATTGTGCACCCACAACGGTTGCCTCTATATGTGCTCTATGGCCCCGAATACGGTTTGAATAAATGGTGCAGTGCAACATCGCAATTACAGCCGGAATCTGGCAACACCAAAGTATCTCTCTCTCTCACTCTGTCTCTCTCACCCTCGCTATATCTCTGCCATTCTCTTTTCCTTTCGCTCTCTCTGTCACTCGCTCTCTCTATCCCTCTGTCTCTCTCACCCTCTCGCTTTTTCGCTCGCTCTCTCTATCACTCTGTCTCTCGCACTCTCTATATCTCTCGCATTATCTTTTCCCTCACACACCCTCGTTCTCTCTCTCTCTCTCTCTCTCTCTCTCTCTCTCTCTCTCTCTCTCGCTCTCGCTCTTGCTCTCGCTCTCGCGTTTTTGTATTTGGCACTTCTCTATCGCGCTTTTATATTATTTTTGGCACAGTTAGAGGAGAAGCCCTCGAGGAATACAGTGGGGGCGGGGGGGGTTAAAATAATCAGGACGCGCCCACACTTCTCGGATTGTTCGTCTGCGAAATGGACTACCACAGTAACTTATGTTCCGAAAGTAAACAACTTCCGAGCGGTTTTTATTCGACCTTCACGTGAGTGTCAGCTGAATCGCCTCAAACTTCTGATTTTTGAGAAAATTGAATTTTTGTAAAAAGCACCGTTTCTCTGTGAATCAAAAGTTGCCGCCTGCTAGGCTCTGAAAGCCGATAAATAGCAAAACAAAGTCGTCCAGTTATGCTTCTGCAACAGTTCCTGGACTAAATATTTCCGCCATAATACGACGTAGAGCGGCCGTCCACGGTCAAGTTTCGTCATTTTGTTGAAAACCTGATGGGGAATCGGAATTCGTAAGAACTTTTCCGCTTGTTCACGAATTTCGGCAAAAGGGGGCACTAGTACAGGGTGTCCCAAAAATACCCGAAAACTTTTTAAGGTGGTTTTTCTTTAGATATTGCTAATTTCTTGGCACGTAGGGAAATTTTTCCTACTTTGTGAATTGTTTTGAAGACAATACCGCTGACAAAAATTGGAGAAGGAGCCCTAGGATTTTGTAAGAACGCCAAGAAAGTTATCGAAGTTTCCGACCTCTTGCAAACAGCCCCGCTCGACAGTTTCTTGCGGGCCTCAAACAGTCCGGAATCAAACCTGCCACTGTTTTTATTCGACCTATGCTTGAGTAAAATGTCCGTAGTATGTTTCGTCAGTTACTAGATAACCTGATTCGGCCGCTCAAGCAAGAACCGGACCCTATTCCAAAAAAATCTAGATGGAGGGGAATGGTGGCCGAATTCTGTGCGGCAATGGGCCGCCATTGCCGCACAAGACTCGCGCGTTATTTGTACTGCCCGGAATACATAACTATATATTTGCCGCCAAAATCTTCGGCTTTAAAGGGGCTCGGAAGCCAAAATTTGTGCGTACGAGGTTCTGGCTGTTTTTCAGGAATCAACGCTGGGTCACGTGGACCAGATTTCTGAGCCCCTTGAAAGAAACATTCAACTCCCAGCTTTTAATGAAAAAGCAAAAAGCCATGCCACAACCGGGGGTCGAACCCTGACCTTGCGCGAGGCAGGCACACACAAAACCAATGTGCCAACAGACCGAATCGGGAGAGGACAGGCCCTCTTCGCCCCCAGGCGCCTTGTCCACGCGTTAGGAAACAGACCCTGCCTGCTATAGCGTGGAACGATTTTATAAAATTGGCAGGTGAATGTTCCTTTAAAAAGAACTTTCAGAAACCACCATAGATCCATTTCCGACCAAAAACCATGGAATCTCAAATTCTGCACCCTGTCGATTTACGAACAACCTTAAAATGACTAGAACCTTTCAAACCCCCGAACCTTGACTAAATCTAAGTTGCCCATCAGGAACAACATGCTGTAAGCTAGACCTCCCGAACCCCCCCCCGAAACCCCCTAAACCCCCCTCCGAACCCCCCTAAGAACCCCCCCTAAAAACCCCCAACCCCCGCCCCCCCTACGAACCCCCCATCGCAACCACCCTCTCAACCCCCCTCCCAACCCCCCTACCAATCCCCCCTCGTTAGGGGGGTTTAGGGGGGGGTTCTGGAGGTCTACTGTAAGATATTTACCGAGAAAAATTGGCTTGGATCCGAGGCTGCGTTAAAACGATCACGGCTTAAACCGCGCCCACAACCTGCGCGCCGCGCAGCGAAACCTTCACTTCTAGGGCTCCGTTCTAAAAAATAGCGTCGACTACGTCGCCGACGTCGCGGGAAAGTGCTTACGAATTCTGATTGCCCATCAGGTCGTCTACAAAAGCGTTGAATTTGACGGGCGCACGACCCCTCCATGCCGAATTATGTCCGAAAACATTAAGTCCAGGAACTTTGCCGCACCCACGAAATTGATGGTCGCGTTCATTTCCCATCGACAAAATCGAAAATAAAGACATTTTTTGTAGGTGTTGTTTGTAGATTTTTGTAGCTCGTAATCTTGAGAGGTCGGCTCTATTCTTTGGCGTACGGCGCTAATTTCAGCGATTAGCTTCATCCTGAAGCCTGCGGTGCCAGCTATAGCTAGCCCGGCTGACTTCGTTCTAAAGCTTGCCGCGCGAAATTTGGAGACATTTTTCCTTCATAAGCCTGCGGCGCTAGTTGCAGCTCCTAGCTTGCTTCCTTAGCCTGCGGCGAAAACTTGAGAGGTAACTTCGTAATAACGCATCCATATACGGAAATCCACTCCGAAACGTCCCTGGCGAGCAAAGAATAGCTCTCTCTCTCTCCCTCTCTCTCTCTCTCTCTCTCTCTCTCTCTCTCTGTCTCTAGGTCTCGCTCCCCATCACTCTGTCTCACTCACTATCTCTTTATCTCTCTCTCACAAGCTCTCTCTTGCTCCATCTATCTCTTTCGTTCACTCTCTCTCGCTCACTTTCTCTCCCCCTCTCTATCTCACTCGCTCTCTCTCTCTCACTCTTCCCTACCTCGCTCAATTTTAATTTCTTAACATTTATTCACGGTATACGGCAAGGCAGAGGACAACCAACAAATATCATCAGGGGGAAAGCACCGCAAAATATTCCGGGGATTTATTGATCGATCAGTTTATTCGGAGCTTCTCTTGAAGGGGGAGGCAGGTGATCGGCAGAGGCGAAAGTGGGCCGGGCCAAGGCGTCGGGATCGAGCAGTTCAACCAGGGCGGTGGGCCGAGATCACAGGCCCGACAGGTACGGGATCGAGTCTGGAAGATGTTTTTATAGCGACTAGGAAGTCATTAAACACTATACTTTAGGCTTAAACACAGTGTAAACCGTATCAAAACGTACACTCCACCAGGGGGCGCCCCAGCAGGGCATGGATCGGGTTTTCGACTTCCGGAAATGGCGTCATGTCCTCGATCTGAAACACGGAAAATATACGGGAAAAAAGATCACAACGGATCTCTGCTAGCTTGCCACAATCCTCTCACCTCGGCACCAATCGTGTCGTTCGCGTCCAACCAAGCCGACACCGCACGCAGCACCTCCGCTGAAATTGGTGGAATGAAAATAAAAAGGGGAGAGGGAGTGATGGGGACTTAGAGATAAAGAGAGTCAGAGAGAGAGAATGAGAGCGAGAGAGAGAGAAAAAGAGAGCGAGAGTCAGCGAGAGAGTGAGTGAGAGAGATAAAGAGAGCGAGAGTGAGAGAGAGGCAGAGAGAGAGAGAGAGCGAGAGAGAGATAAAGAGAGCGAGAGTCAGAGAGAGGGTGAGATCGAGAGAGAGAGATAAAGAGAGAGAGATAAAGAGAGCGAGAGTGAGAGAGAGAGAGAGAGTGAAAGGGAGAGAGAGATAAAGAGAGCGAGAGTCAGAGAGAGAGTGAGAGAGAAAAAGAGAGCGAGATTCAGCGAGCGAGTGAGTGAGAGATAAAGAGAGCGAGAGTGAGAGCGAGAGAGAGATAAAGAGAGCGAGGGTCAGAGAGAGTGAGATCGAGAGAGAGAGATAAAGAGAGAGAGAGAGAGAGAGAGATACCCGACGTGCCGTGTTCCTCGATGGCTGCCCCGTCGTCATTTCCATGATATTCTCCGCCGTCGGCCATCGGCATTTGCATGAACGGGTTCCCGAATGGTGGCTGGATGCGCTGTAACATCAACTCTACGTAAATGGAATTAATTTTTTGGCTAACTTAAGATAATTCACGATATTTCCTAGTTTGGACGAGTCCGCAAGCGTTAATCGTTGTTTGTATTAGAGTTGGAAACCGAGTGGTTTTTCGAGCGCGAATGGCTGATTTTCGGCCAAAATCTTAACCAAAGATCCCTCTTCTAAGGTTTTTGAGAGAGGTTTAGTTGATGCCACTTGAAATATACTATCTTTTCAAAAAAATACAAAAATACCGGGGTTCGGCCTGAAAATTCTTAGGTTTTAGATAATTTGCCACTTAAAAACAGTCCAATTTTACACAAGGCGCTAGGAACTAGTACACTTACTAGTAGATTACAAGGCATTTGTCGATTTATAGGAAAAAAAAGATCGGTTCTGCTTCCCCCTCCCCCGATACTACACAAGGCTCCATTGTTCAGGCCCCATTGCACCACTTGCCATTAGAACGTACCGGAAACCCGGGAGGTCCGTGGGGTGGTGGTGGGTGGCGTTGATGGTTGTCCTGCTCGCACACGACGTCCCCGTCCTCCGGCCCGATCAACAGCACACCTATCGACGCGGCACGGAGGGAGCGGATCGCGAAATCGCTGCAAAAAAGGGTTCTGGACTGTTAGCGGGGGGGGGGACCAAATTTTTCCCTGTGATCCTCTACGGCCCTATAACAAAATATGAACAACTTTTATAGCATAGTTCTAAGGTATAAAAACAACATTAAAAATAATAAAAATGTCGAAAATTTGTCTTTTAGATAAAAAATGTATAAAAGTTCAAAATTTTCGGATTTCGGATTTGTGACCTTATAGCAATGAACAACTACTAAAAACGGAAAGGGATTTACCCCACAGCCAAACCAACTCCGCCCCCCCCCCCGCTAACAACCCAGTATCGATAAGCGACCAACCAAGCATTGGCCATAAAGAGGCGGGTGTTCGGGTTGATCGGGACGCCGGCTACCGTAGTCTCCTTCTGCTCGGTCGTCTTCAAGGAGAGAGGGATGAAAGAGAGAGGGAGAGCGCGTGAGAGAGAGTGAGAGAGAGAAAGAAAGAGTAGCACGAACCCTGCCATTAGCCGAATCCCCGATGACCTGCACGACGTCCTCGATGCACATCAGACGATCGAGACGGATCGACTGGGTGTCACCTGGAAAAATGATGGATAGGCTGGCAGAGATCATTGGTGAAACCCAATTGCTCCTGAAGACCGGGGTCAGAACCAGCTAGCAGAAACCGTTTGCGGCGACGTACGACGATAGAGGTTGTCGCGCGTCTCCTTCATCCAGTGGAAGAAATCGGTGAAGAGCTGCAGCTGGCAGGCCGGCACGAGGAGCATCTCCTTCCAGCACGACGCGCTGAACCTGGAAATGGGAAAATCTGAAAGATTTTCTTGCTCTCACTCTCACTCTTACTCTCTGACTCTCTCACACTCTCTCCCTCTCTCTCCATCTCTCGCTCTCTCGCCCCTACTTGGCAATCGTGGCACAAGTCGTATTGATGTCGTTGATGGCGGTCGGCTCCCAGTAGATGACCTGCGTCGGCAGTTCCCCGTCTGGAAATAGCGATTTAAAGGGATCAGGAAGCCCCAAATCGACCCCTGCCCTTGGCTAGGTGTCGACCGACCGTTGAGCTGTTCCCGTGTTGGTATTGGGGTATCAGCATCTCCTCGCTGCACAACGATCACCACCTGCTCGACGACCTGCCCGTTCTCGAAGGTACGACCCCAGATCTGAAAATCAAAAAAGTGGGTTGGTTGTTGCATTAGGAAGCGTGCAACGCCCAGAAAATGCTTTTTAGGCAACACAGATTTTCGAAATTTTGGTACTTGAGTATCCCCGGGGCGGGGGGGGGACCGAACTTTTTTCCGCTGAGGCCTAGTTTTTTTATATAAATAGTGGAAGTGTTTCTAAATTGTTTTTAACTACTCCTAAGCATACAAACTTTACAAAATTTAATTTTAGGTAGAAAAATCAATTTTTCGACCCAAAAATGACTTTAACTTTGTCAAGCGTTTTCTAACTTTTAAAAAAGTTTTTGCTATTAAAATAGGCTTAAATTTTGCCAAAAACAATGTGAAAACATTTTATATTTGATTACTATGCCCACCAGGGCCAACAGAAAAAAGTGGGTCCCCCCCGCGAATTCATAAAGATGTGAATCGCATCGGAATACCTGACGCGGGGTGGCGCCATGGGTCTCGGTGGACGCGACGAGTACGGCCCATTTGCCATCGCCCATCTTCTTCACCGTATCCGGGTCGGTCCAGATCAACTGGTGGAGCAGCGTTTGACGCGCCTCGCGACGATTTACACCATCACGACGCCTGCAAAAAGCAATGATTCGGAAATCATGAATTCAAAAATCGTCTCTCTCGCTCTCTCGCGCGATCTCTCTCTCTCTTTCACTCTTCGTTCTCACTCTATCCCTCTCTCCCTCTCTATCTCTCGCTCCCTCTCTCTCTCTCTCCCCCTCTCTCTCTCTATCTCTCTTTCTCTCTCACCTTCCCAGCAGTTCCCTCTCCAGATGACTGGCAGGATTGAGTGTCTGTGGGCGTCCCTGATCTCCACTGTTCATCGTCGTGTAGCGGTGCCGGGGCGTTCGCTCGTACCCTTCGCGCTGCAACACTATTTTGAAGAAGGGTAGATTACTTCAGTTTTTTTTTGCCAGACGTCGCCAGCGAATTTTATTTCTAAAAATGAAAATTTAATCTACCGGCTCGTCCAAATGCATAAATTCGAGTTCTCAATACTCCAAGTACTTTTTGCGACATTTTAGAACACAATTTAAAAAACAATCGAACAATTTTCACACTCGCAATTTACTAATTTCAGGGCAAACAAATGTAAATAAAATCTGAACAGCAAAAACAGGATTGGTAATGTAAGACACTTGCTTCTTATTTAAAAACCAGCGCCCAAAACCCGCTTCGCGGGCCTTGGGCGCTGGAATGCGGCCTTTGCATGAAAAATTTGACTTTCCGATAGCTCGGGTCCTTCGGACCCCTTCCCCGCACCGACCACACACGCGCGGGCAAATTGCATGAATGAGGAAATTTGTATTTTTTCATATTATGCAAATTACCCCCAAAAATGAATAAAACTTGCTTTAACTTTGTAAACTTGTATTTTATCGAAATTCTGAAAACGTCATCGGAAAGAGGAGGGTCGATTCCCCCAATTGACAAAGAATCAGCGCATTTTATGCACGGGAAGGCCCTTAAATCGGGCCTCGAAAGTGACATCCACACACACACACACACAGTTACACGCCAAAATTATATAAGGTAGGATTTGAAAAGCGATGTTTCAAAGAGTCTTAAAAAGCTATTGCCGAATCAGACACGGATCGCATGTTTCGAATACTACCGGAATCTTTTAATTCCCACAGAAGTTCCGCTACGCACCTGGGCCCGTTTTCCAGAATTCCCTTCAGCTCCCTTCTGCGGCTCTTCCTTCCCACTAAAAAGAAGTGCTTTAAGGATAAAGATAACCAGATTCAAGTAGCTTTGAACTTTATATTGTCCTTTAATTTCTATATTAGGTAAAAGTTGACTTTACCCCCCCACAGCCGAAGGGTCGCAAAGTTGTCGGTATTTTCGCTTATTTTGTCGGGATTTTTGCAACGCCATTCAATAGAGCGTCGAAAAATATACTAACGTTTTTAATTTGAGCCTACAATAGTGTAAAATAAAAAAAGTTATAGCCAAAAACTTCCGGCTGGGGGGGTAAAGTAAACCGTAGCCCTATATTACCTTAAATTGTAAGGCAGAAAACTAGCCAAGGCACTAACGTCTCGCTGGTTTGGTTACCCGCCGGTAACCGTCCGCCGGATAGCAAACCGGGTTACGGTAGACGCTCGCCGCGGAGCAAAATCGAACCCGGACCACTCGCCTGGGGCAAGCGCCATAGACCAATAGCCCATGGGACAGACGGGGGAGGGGAGATCGAGGGGGATATGAAGCGTCGGGCCAGCGACGACAAGGCGACCACATTCCCGACCACGGCCCACTTTTTTAAGCGAGATTTTAGTGTACCTTTAAGTGCAGTTTACCCTCCCCCCCTCCCAGCCGGCACCCACCTACCGTATCTCGGCTCCCTGTTCATCTACAGGCGTGTAAAGTATACCAAAATACTCGCCAGGGCAAGACGAACATTTTCATCTACTTTACACACCTGTAGATGAACAGGGAGCCGAGATACACAAGTTGGGTTCCGGCGGGAGTAAACTGCGCTATAACCCTAGCCAAAAATAGCTGTTCTAAAAATAAACCTGATCAAATTAAAATTAACATAATACATTAAATTAATCAAGTTATTATTAATATTCGTTAAATTGATATTAAAGTTAATATTAATTAACCATATGATTCAAATTCCTGACCGATTGCGGGGCTTTTCGACCACCGGGTCCGTTGCCCCCTCGTTGGCGGGGTGCCGTTTCCGAGCCATTTTCTGCAAATTAAAATACCGTACATTTGACTACCAGCAAACCGACCTAATAATACGCACAAACCGGTTCTAAGAATGTTGAGAGTAGCAAATGATTTTACCGAAACTGAATCCGATGGGCCGAGTTGGGAAAACCGGAAATGCAAATTGCGCTTGTTTGGGAAATATGCAAAATTATATTAGCCAATTTTTACGCAATTTTACATTTCATGGCTTGGCTACGAAAGGCCATTTTTCCAATTCTTGAAGTGCCGATTCTTGCGAGCTACCCGAACAAGGCTTGGCACACGGGTTTTTTCCTCCCTGCTTTTTGACGTCATCTGAAAGGGCATGGTCGAATTAGTAGAGTGGCACTATTTCAAGAATTTCAAACCCAAGACGTTCGGGGCTAAATCCACCGTTCAAGTTGCCGATATGTCTAGCCGTCGGACAGCCGCGCCCTGCTCAAAAAAATAATGGATTTCTCCATTGTTTTTTTTTGTACGTCTAGCCGTCGGCCAGCCAAGCGCTGCTGGAAAAAAGTAATGGATTTCTCCATTGTTTTTTTGTACGTCTAGCCGTCGGCCAGCCAAGCGCTGCTGGAAAAAAGTAATGGATTTCTCCATTGTTTTTTTTGTACGTCTAGCCGTCGGCCGGCCAAGCGCTGCTGGAAAAAAGTAATGGATTTCTCCATTGTTTTTTTTGTACGTCTAGCCGTCGGCCAGCCAAGCGCTGCTGGAAAAAAGTAATGGATTTCTCCATCATCTCGAAAAAATTCATCTTCATCTCAATATTTCATCTCTTCATCTCAAAAAAATCATGGATTTCTCCATTGTTTTTTTTGTACGTCTAGCCGTCGGCCAGCCAAGCGCTGCTGGAAAAAAGTAATGGATTTCTCCATCATCTCAAAAAAATTCATCTTCATCTCAATATTTCATCTCTTCATCTCAAAAAAATCATGGATTTCTCCATTGTTTTTTTTGTACGTCTAGCCGTCGGCCAGCCAAGCGCTGCTGGAAAAAAGCAATGGATTTCTCCATTGTTTTTTTGTACGTCTAGCCGTCGGCCAGCCAAGCGCTGCTGGAAAAAAGTAATGGATTTCTCCATTGTTTTTTTTGTACGTCTAGCCGTCGGCCAGCCAAGCGCTGCTGGAAAAAAGTAATGGATTTCTCCATTGTTTTTTTTGTAAGTCTAGCCGTCGGCCAGCCAAGCGCTGCTGGAAAAAAGTAATGGATTTCTCCATTGTTTTTTTGTACGTCTAGCCGTCGGCCGGCCAAGCGCTGCTGGCTCAAAAAAAATCATGGATTTCTCCATTGTTTTTTTTATACGTCTAGCCGTCGGCCGGCCAAGCGCTGCTAGCTCAAAAAAAATCATGGATTTCTCCATTGTTTTTTTGTACGTCTAGCCGTCGGCCAGCCAAGCGCTGCTGGCTCAAAAAAAATCATGGATTTCTCCATTGTTTTTTTATACGTCTAGCCGTCGGCCGGCCAAGCGCTGCTAGCTCAAAAAAAATCATGGATTTCTCCATTGTTTTTTTTGTACGTCTAGTCGTCGGCCGGCCAAGCGCTGCTGGCTCAAAAAAAATCATGGATTTCTCCATTGTTTTTTTTATACGTCTAGCCGTCGGCCAGCCAAGCGCTGCTGGCTCAAAAAAAATCATGGATTTCTCCATTGTTTTTTTTATACGTCTAGCCGTCGGCCGGCCAAGCGCTGCTGGCTCAAAAAAATCATGGATTTCTCCATTGTTTTTTTTATACGTCTAGCCGTCGGCCGGCCAAGCGCTGCTGGCTCAAAAAAAATCATGGATTTCTCCATTGTTTTTTTATACGTCTAGCCGTCGGCCGGCCAAGCGCTGCTGGCTCAAAAAAAATCATGGATTTCTCCATTGTTTTTTTTATACGTCTAGCCGTCGGCCGGCCAAGCGCTGCTGGCTCAAAAAAAATCATGGATTTCTCCATTGTTTTTTTTGTACGTCTAGCCGTCGGCCGGCCAAGCGCTGCTGGCTCAAAAAAAATCATGGATTTCTCCATTGTTTTTTTTGTACGTCTAGCCGTCCGCCGGCCAAGCGCTGCTGGCTCAAAAAAAATCATGGATTTCTCCATTGTTTTTTTGTACGTCTAGCCGTCGGCCGGCCAAGCGCTGCTGGCTCAAAAAAAATCATGGATTTCTCCATTGTTTTTTTTATACGTCTAGCCGTCGGCCGGCCAAGCGCTGCTGGCTCAAAAAAATCATGGATTTCTCCATTGTTTTTTTTGTACGTCTAGCCGTCGGCCGGCCAAGCGCTGCTGGCTCAAAAAATCATGGATTTCTCCATTGTTTTTTTTGTACGTCTAGCCGTCGGCCGGCCAAGCGCTGCTGGCTCAAAAAAATCATGGATTTCTCCATTGTTTTTTTTGTACGTCTAGCCGTCGGCCGGCCAAGCGCTGCTGGAAAAAAGTAATGGATTTCTCCATTGTTTTTTTTTGTACGTCTAGCCGTCGGCCGGCCAAGCGCTGCTGGAAAAAAGTAATGGATTTCTCCATTGTTTTTTTTGTACGTCTAGCCGTCGGCCGGCCAAGCGCTGCTGGAAAAAAGTAATGGATTTCTCCATTGTTTTTTTTTGTACGTCTAGCCGTCGGCCGGCCAAGCGCTGCTGGAAAAAAGTAATGGATTTCTCCATTGTTTTTTTTGTACGTCTAGCCGTCGGCCGGCCAAGCGCTGCTGGAAAAAAGTAATGGATTTCTCCATTGTTTTTTTTTGTACGTCTAGCCGTCGGCCAGCCAAGCGCTGCTGGAAAAAAGTAATGGATTTCTCCATTGTTTTTTTTGTACGTCTAGCCGTCGGCCGGCCAAGCGCTGCTGGCTCAAAAAAATCATGGATTTCTCCATTGTTTTTTTTATACGTCTAGCCGTCGGCCGGCCAAGCGCTGCTGGAAAAAGTAATGGATTTCTCCATTGTTTTTTTTATACGTCTGGCCGTCGGCCGGCCAAGCGCTGCTCGCTCAAAAAAATCATGGATTTCTCCATTGTTTTTTTATACGTCTAGCCGTCGGCCGGCCAAGCGCTGCTGGCTCAAAAAAATCATGGATTTCTCCATTGTTTTTTTTATACGTCTAGCCGTCGGCCGGCCAAGCGCTGCTGGAAAAAAGTAATGGATTTCTCCATTGTTTTTTTATACGTCTAGCCGTCGGCCGGCCAAGCGCTGCTCGCTCAAAAAAATCATGGATTTCTCCATTGTTTTTTTTTATACGTCTAGCCGTCGGCCGGCCAAGCGCTGCTGGAAAAAAGTAATGGATTTCTCCATTGTTTTTTTATACGTCTAGCCGTCGGCCGGCCAAGCGCTGCTGGAAAAAGTAATGGATTTCTCCATTGTTTTTTTTATACGTCTAGCCGTCGGCCGGCCAAGCGCTGCTGGCTCAAAAAAATCATGGATTTCTCCATTGTTTTTTTATACATCTAGCCGTCGGCCGGCCAAGCGCTGCTGGCTCAAAAAAATCATGGATTTCTCCATTGTTTTTTTTATACGTCTAGCCGTCGGCCGGCCAAGCGCTGCTGGAAAAAAGTAATGGATTTCTCCATTGTTTTTTTATACGTCTAGCCGTCGGCCGGCCAAGCGCTGCTGGAAAAAAGTAATGGATTTCTCCATTGTTTTTTTTATACGTCTAGCCGTCGGCCGGCCAAGCGCTGCTGGAAAAAGTAATGGATTTCTCCATTGTTTTTTTATACGTCTAGCCGTCGGCCGGCCAAGCGCTGCTGGCTCAAAAAAATCATGGATTTCTCCATTGTTTTTTTATACATCTAGCCGTCGGCCGGCCAAGCGCTGCTGGCTCAAAAAAAATCATGGATTTCTCCATTGTTTTTTTTGTACGTCTAGCCGTCGGCCGGCCAAGCGCTGCTGGAAAAAAGTAATGGATTTCTCCATTGTTTTTTTTATACGTCTAGCCGTCGGCCGGCCAAGCGCTGCTGGAAAAAAGTAATGGATTTCTCCATTGTTTTTTTTGTACGTCTAGCCGTCGGCCGGCCAAGCGCTGCTGGAAAAAAGTAATGGATTTCTCCTTTGTTTTTTTTGTACGTCTAGCCGTCGGCCGGCCAAGCGCTGCTAGCTCAAAAAAAATCATGGATTTCTCCATTGTTTTTTTTATACGTCTACCCGTCGGCCGGCCAAGCGCTGCTGGCTCAAAAAAATCATGGATTTCTCCATTGTTTTTTTATACGTCTAGCCGTCGGCCGGCCAAGCGCTGCTGGCTCAAAAAAATCATGGATTTCTCCATGGTTTTTTTTGTACGTCTAGCCGTCGGCCGGCCAAGCGCTGCTGGCTCAAAAAAATCATGGATTTCTCCATTGTTTTTTTTGTACGTCTAGCCGTCGGCCGGCCAAGCGCTGCTGGCTCAAAAAAAATCATGGATTTCTCCATTGTTTTTTTTGTACGTCTAGCCGTCGGCCGGCCAAGCGCTGCTGGAAAAAAGTAATGGATTTCTCCATTGTTTTTTTTATACGTCTAGCCGTCGGCCGGCCAAGCGCTGCTGGCTCAAAAAAAATCATGGATTTCTCCATTGTTTTTTTTGTACGTCTAGCCGTCGGCCGGCCAAGCGCTGCTGGAAAAAGTAATGGATTTCTCCATTGTTTTTTTATACGTCTAGCCGTCGGCCGGCCAAGCGCTGCTGGCTCAAAAAAAATCATGGATTTCTCCATGGTTTTTTTTTGTACGTCTAGCCGTCGGCCGGCCAAGCGCTGCTGGCTCAAAAAAATCATGGATTTCTCCATTGTTTTTTTTGTACGTCTAGCCGTCGGCCGGCCAAGCGCTGCTGGCTCAAAAAAAATCATGGATTTCTCCATTGTTTTTTTTGTACGTCTAGCCGTCGGCCGGCCAAGCGCTGCTGGAAAAAAGTAATGGATTTCTCCATTGTTTTTTTATACGTCTAGCCGTCGGCCGGCCAAGCGCTGCTGGCTCAAAAAAATCATGGATTTCTCCATTGTTTTTTTATACGTCTACCCGTCGGCCGGCCAAGCGCTGCTGGCTCAAAAAAAATCATGGATTTCTCC